ACAAACGTAAGCCAATGACAAAGGCAAGCAAATAAAATTATGAAATGTTTAATGCAGCGCAACATGCAATGCAATTACGCACGCAGAGATCCAAAGTGGGCGAGGAGCCGACAGGGTGGGGAGGCGGGGCCAGGGGAGAGTTGGCAAAACTTGTGACAAAAGTGCCGGAAAACTTTTTGCCATAGTCTGATGAGAAACGTTTTCCGCGGGCTTAAGCCAATTTGTGCCAAACACAGCTAAAGCCGATGGCAAAAAACGGAATCAGAGACAGAAACAGAAACTGAATCTGCATCAGAATCAGAATGAGAATGAGAAACAGAATGCGAATGCGAATGCGAAACAGAATCAAAATCGAGCAAAGTCGGAGACAAAGTTGCCTCGGTTTGTAGCCAACTTAAAGTTGCAACAAAGTTTTCAGCGGCATAATGAGCATTGCAGATTAAAGCTAATATACCCTTAAACGGAATCTGCGTAAGAATCTGGGTAAGAATCTGGTTAAGAATCTGCGGCTCGTTTGCTCGTAATTATTGGCAATTTCATGGCAATAAAATCACAAGCGTGCAAAATTATGAATGATAACACTGAGCCACAGAGCCACAGAGCAGGTGGACTTATGAAGCACTCAAAGCGATTCATCGCCTGCCCTTAATCTGCCTCAAAAGGCAGCCAGCAGCTGGCAACAGGCCTGTTGCACTTGGCCTCTTATATTTTTGGGGCGTGCACCGCTTAAATAGCCGCAATTTTTATATTAAAATGTATATATATTAAAGAAAAGTGTATATATATATTTGGGAAACTCGTTTGTAAGTGCCGCTTCGGGCCCTGGTTCCAACAGGCATCAAGGTGTGAACGTGTCAATGTGGCAATGCGGCAATGAGCGTCAAAGAGCCAAAGCCAAAGCCAAAGCTAAAGCAAAAGCAACAACTGAAGCTAAAGGCTTAAGGCGAAACCCAGCAACAGCTGATGCCGAACAGACCCTTGCGTTGCCCTTGCACGCTCTCTGCGCAATTAGGCCCTTTTTTGTAATTAATAAAAAAATGATAACAGTAAACGTAACGTAAACGTAAACGTAAACGTAAACGTAAAAGTAAATAAAATGCAAGTATAAATATGCTTATATACAAAACAAAGCAGTCTTTACTATGTATAAGCTATATACTATGAGCTCTAGTCTGATTTTAGGCTTTATTGTTTTTCACTATACCGGGCAAGTAAGAGTGCTTGAGTAGGGAATGCATAATCACTTGCTTTTGATACTCTTCACGTACATAACTAAAAGAGAAAAACTAGAACAGACCATTCTTCAAATGCGAAACCCTCCTCACACTCGTGCATAGTTCATAGTTGTTAGACGCATATCATATCCATTCATACATCCAGCTCACTCCAGTCTACACCCAATTATTTTTATAACATCATTTACGCTTTTTAAAGTTTTAAAGGTACTTATTTAAATGAAACCCAAAATTATAAGTAAAAAGTCTTTAAAAAAAATAAATAAAATAAAATAAATAAACATTTTTTTAAATGAGAAGGGAATCAAACAGAGCAAACGTATTATCTATGTTATATATATCTCGGCTAACATCATATTAAAGGTTTTCCATGGACTCGGTCAGGCCTTTTTACATTTTAATATATTCAATATACCTGGATTTTCCATTTCAATTAGTTGAAAGGATTGTGCAAGCTACAAACGATTTTGTATATTTCCAGCTTTTGGCAGTTGTGAAATAAATTTCTAAAATTTAATAATATTTTCTATTAAATGGCATACATATAAAATTATACATATACATATATACTTTATAAAGTATATATATTTTTCGTTTTATGTATATCCTGAGATTATTTGATTATTTTCACATTATTTAAATGTATATATTTTTTTTTTAATGTGATCGATTTTTAGTTCAAGGATTTCGTGCAATTCTTAACTTATTATTTATTATAGTTTTTATATTATTTATTTATATTTTATTTTAATTAATCATATTCAATATATTTCCCTTATAAGAGACGTCTTTATATTTCTTGCTACATACTTATTTATATAGATTTATATATATTTACTTGTATGTATTTAAAAACAAACTTCATGGCATTTTCATCCTCGTCATCTCACGCTCTCTCCCTCTCTCTCTATCACTTGCCTCTCGTTCTTCTCGCTTCTTATTTTGCCGTTCCTTGTTATTTTCAATATTATATTCTTTTGTGTCTCGCGCTCTCTCTCTTTCGTTCTATTATCTCTGCTCTGCTTATTTCTTTAGCTGAGATTAACATTGGGCTGAAATATTGTATATATTTGTTGAGTACATGCGACATTTGTCTAGCTGGCAACGCATTAGCCACGCTTCTTGTTGCCAAAGGATAATGGATAATGGGCTGCCAGGTGGGTGTACTAAATGGCATGCTCAAGGTGTTGCGCTCGTTGCCTAGCTGCCGTTGCACTCATCCCGTCATAATTCAGTGTGACTAAAGGCGCGTGCAGCATGCCCAGGCCCGTCGCCAAAAACTGGACACACGTACCGCGATTAGCCACGCATGCGCGTAGCAAAGGGAAGCGAAGGACAGCAGCAGCCCGGCTCCTGCCCCTGGGCCGTTGACTAGTTAGTAGCTTGGAAAATGTCAACTTGGCATGGGTCGCTTGATTTGGCACGCTTGTGGCTGCCGCTGCTTCTGCCGCTGCTGCTGCTGCCGATTCTGCTGGGCATTGCATTTGCAACTGGTCCCTCTTAATGTCCAGTCATAAAATGCAATTTCAAGGCTGCTCTGGCTGCTGTTTCGGTAGTCCCATGGCAGAGCCCTTTGTCCGCGGCTGCTGCTGCTTCATGGAAATGCATTTCACAATGGGCAATCTGCAGCTCATACGTTGCAAATATTTTGGTCCAAATGAATTTCAAGCTGCGTCGAATAGCCTTCAGGGTCTCGTGCCCTCTGTCTTGTGACAGGCTCGTGCTGTGCTGGACTTGTGCTACTGCAGTTGTTTCTGCTCCTGCTTATGCTCCTGCTGCTGCTGCTTCTGCTTTGTTTATCAATTAAACACAACTAACTGTTGTTTACGCATCTTGCGGTTTTGCTCAGGTGCAAGCCAGCTGCCTGTCAAAACGAAAACAAAAGCACATTTCCAGCATATTCCCCAGTAGCCCAGGAGCGAACCCTTCACAGCTGTTCGTCTGTCAGTTCAGGTGAAGTAAAAACAACAACGTCTCCGGGAAAACTTCCTCACATTCAACATTATTCGAAATATATTCAGAAACTGTTTTTACTTCAGCGCTCTTTTCACAGTACTTTAATGCTGCTGGCTTTAGAGCTAGTAGATGGAATATGATAGATCTTTACAGAAATTATTTTAAAGTCAATAATATCAGTAAGCTAGTAATATTCCTCTATTAGTTCTACTGAGGCCCCTAATTATTTAAGGCATTAGAAAACTCTTTATAGCTTAATACTTAAAGATCCGTGCATTCTGAATGCTTCACTTGTTAACACTAAAAATTTGAATTACTTTATTAATGCTACAAACAGAAAATATTAAAAATATTATTATGATTTATATATAAATATTAATATGGCACAATCATTGATAAAGTTAGCCCCATATTCCTCAATAAATATTTATGTATGAATATTATGAAAATATAATCCATTCTTTAAATAAGTAGATTGATAAGTATGTCATTATTTTATCCTTCAATAAAGTTCTTCAATAAATATATATTAAAGAATTCGAAAGATATTTAATTTATGATATAAATTCTTTACATTTTCCTTCAATAAATATTTATATAAGAATATTAAGAATATGCTCTTAAAATATATTGATAATTATATTATTATCCTTCAATATTGTTCTTCATTAAATACATGTGTATAATGTATTTGAAAGATATACAATTTATTACATTATATGCTATAGTATTAAAGTTCTTCAATAAATATTTATATAGATTATTAAGATACTTTATGGCATCATATAGACAGTTTTGTTGCGTTATTCTCTTCAATAATTTAATTTAATAATTTTGCAAGTTTTACCCTGGCCTAGTTGCTCTAAGCTCTTGTGGGCTTACTCTCATGTCCATCACTTAGGTAACCAATTTATCATGTTGCATGAACGGTTGATGCAATGTTTGAGTATTCGTGTAATTGAGCTAATAGGTGAAGCAAGAGGCAGATGCGCTGAGCTGCTGTTGTTGTTGCTGGCCGGCACTTGAGCCCGTGGCGAATGGCAACAATTGCAACTAATTGGGGCAGATGCAGCTGAATCGCATCTAAGCTGCACTAAGTACACTCAGAAAATTGAATATTAATGCTGTGGCCAGAGCACTCGAGGAGGGCGAGCGAGAAGGCTGGGCTAGCAAATTGCAACGCATTGCATGCAACAAATTATGGAACATGCCAACTCTCAGCTCGCCATAGCCAAATGCAATGAAGCGAACCATTCTTAGCTGTCTCCTGTCTCTCTCTCTCTCTCTCTCTTGCTCTGATCACTCTGCTTAGGCCATTCGATATGCCACACACACACTAACACACATAAGACGTTGCCAGATGCCGCTCGCATTTGCTTTCTTGCTGCGAGTTCAAAGAGCTCAAAGGACATTTCATTAGTAGTTTTTGCATCTATTCGGTTCGTTGCCGAGCGTTGAAAATTCCGTTTCGTCACAAGCGATTTGCTCTTTTCACAGTTTCCGCTGCGCAAGCGCAACAGCCCAGCCCAAAGAGACAAGCAGTGTATATATGTGTGTGTTTTTTTTTTTTTTTTTTTTTTTTTTTTTTTTTTTTTTTTTCTCCTTTCTATTTTTCTTTTTTTTTTCTCAACTTTTTTTTTTTTTTTTATTTTTTTGTGTTTTTTTTTTTTTTATTTTTTTTTTTTTTTTTTTTTTTATTTTTTTTTTTTTTTTGTCGTTAATTTAAAATTAATAATTGTTTTGGCTTTTTTTTTTTTTTTTTTTTTTTTTTTTTTTTTTTACCCTCCCCCCCCCCAAAAAACAGCGGGCGGGGGGGTGGAGTGTTGCCAGATCAATTGAGTACGACAACACGGGGCTGCCATCCCGTTTGGCTGGAAGAGTGACTCCTCTCAGCAAAAGTCCTGCTCTGCTACTCTCTGAGAGAAGTTGTCGCCTATGACTGGGAGCTCCGAACTTTCTGCATGCTTTTACTGTGTGTTTCCGGTAAGCAGGTGATAGCGAAGAGACACCCTCCAAAAGAAAAGATCGCGAATACTCCGAAGATGAGGGCGGGAGTATTACTTTTGATAACGAATGGAAATACAACAACAATCGCTAACGCAAATATCCACGAGCACGTCGAAACAATCGCACCACAAATGGGCAGCGCTCGGTCCGAGAACATCTCGATCATAACGACCCAGACGAGCGGCCCGACGCCCAGGCTGTGTCCAGCACCATAAATGAGGGTGGCAGAGGCTATTAGCCACTTGGAGTCGGAATTGCTTAGGAATTGAAAGTGCAGCGCCATGAGAATGGAGGCCAGCAGCATCACGAGGCCCGACGCAAAGAGCCAGAGCTTGCGCTCGCTTTTCTGAATGACCAATGCGTTCACATACGCGGCGACCACTTTGGCAATGGCAAAGATAACTGTGCACAGCTCTATGGACGCCTGGTAGTTGTCTTCCCTGAACATTAGCTTCATGTAAAAGATATACGCGTTGATGCCCGTGAATTGCTGGAACAGCATCAGTCCGATCACCGCCATCAGGCTCCTCCTTGTAGCCTTCTCGCGCAGTTCCTCCTTGGTGCTGTAGTTATCCGGCTGGTATCTGTTCTTTATCGCCATCATTTCCCGTTCGATGTTGGCATTGGGGCCGCGCAGCCACTGCAGGATGGCCTGAGCCTTTTCGTCCCTGTTCCGTTGGACCAGGTACACCGGCGACTCGGGCACCCATATGAGGATGAAGGCATAGACCAGTGGCAGCAGGCCGCACGCAAAGTTGTACGCCTGAAAGTTCTGGCACGAGTCCAGGATGTAGGCGTACAGAATGCCATGGACCAGCATCAGGTGAAAGAAGCAGTTCAGCATTCCGCGCATGTGCAGCTCGGCCACCTCGTTGTTGTATATGGTGACGGCCACGCCGATGCCGCCGTTGCCCATTCCAATCAGCAATCGGCCGATGTACATCATGCTCAGGTGCGCAGCGCCAATGACGAGGGCCCAGCCAATGATGCTCGGCAGCACCATGCCCAGCATGATCGGCTTCCTGCCGAACGAGCTGATCATGATGCCCACGGGCACGCACATGATGGCGGCGCCCACTGCGATAATCGAGCATATGAATGCCCAGTGCATGGGACTCGGCTGGAACACGTAAGTCGCACGGATGAACTTTGTGCTCCCGATGGGCCCGGACCAAGCCAGGGATACGCCAACAATGAACCCACCAAACGAAGCCATCAGAGCGACCAATATAGATTTAGCCACGAACATTCTGTACTGTGTTCAAATGATTAAATGAATTGCAAATTGGAAGCAGCCATCATTGGGCCTGCAAGTGTCAAGTAAATATCTGAATATGAATTAGGCGAGCAACGAAACTGATCAGAATTTATATTGTGAAGTTCGGGAATAAGTCATAGGCGTCGTCAATCGGGCTACTTCAATTCAGAAATTCTCCACTCGACTGCCTAAATCTGCTCAGCTCCCTCGCTCTCCGTCGCCCTTCCTCTCTCTGTATGTGCATAGAGTGTGTATTTATCTATCCATAAATTATAGACATATTTATAGAAAATTTGCCTGTCTTTTGAGTATTATTTCAATATATTAGCGGGGATCAAAAGGGGCAAGGAAAACCATGTGCCCTCACACCTAGCTGATTGTGCACGTTGGGCTGGCTAAGCCCGGTCGCAACACAAATATATTGCTTTAGCCTAAAAAAAACAATAACAGCTTGGCAGTTGTTGTGTTGTCCTTGCGAGGACATGTGTGTATCTCTCTCTTTGAGTGTGTGTGTGTGTGTGTGTGGCATACAGGTATCTGGCTGACTGCACAGCATCAATTGTAAAAGGATTATGGCTTAATTTTAAATGCGCATTCATTTGCACTCGCCTGCTGCATCAGCTCCTGCCGCTCCTGCGGCTGCTGCTGCTGTTGCTCCTTTTGCAGCTCGTCAAGCTCCTCCTCAGCTGTCTCTCTCGCTCTTTAAGCGGATTTCTGACTGCCGCCTGGTTTTTTTTTTTCTCATTAGTTTTCAAATAGCTGCATTAGCAGAGCGCGCTGCAAGGATCTGGGCCATACAAATGCCAGTGAATTGCTCAATTTGTGGCATTAAGCCCCCTTCTCGGCATTTGTTTTGGCCAGCACTTTGTACCCTTGGCGCATATTGTTTGGCCTTGTTTGTTATTGCAGCAGTTTCTCTTCTTTCTATTTTTTTTCTTTTTCGCTCTCTATCATGTGTTGACCTTTTATTTGTTCACCCATCTTTATTTTTTACCACGAGCTCTAAGCACGTCTCTAAGCATTTTCGAACTGCGTCATTGTGCAGCTATTGTGCTGGAGGATCAGATGAACAATGTGAGCCACGAAGACAACATTCAGAGTCCCAACTGAAATAATATATTTCTAGACTAATTGAAGGCTAAGTAAATGAACTGATGATTCATTTATTTGTATATGTAGGGTGTTTATGAAATATAAATAAATGTATATTAACATTTAGATTAAAGAAGTGACAGCATAACACTCAATACGATCACCAACAGCTGAGTCTGTTTTGGTAAAGGAGTCTGGAAAGAGTCAGCGTAAATTAAGATATCTTTAAAGATATAGATTTTATTCTGATTTAGATATTATATTATACTCTGATAAATATATAGACTTATTAAATATAAACACTCTTATTATACACTTCTAGCTGTAAGTTAATCTTAAATATTTTGTGTGTTTTTAGGGCTAGGACTATTTATTGGACTCTGCTTTATTTTATTTTTAATAAAATAAAAATTAATTATGTGTAAATTAGGCAAATATTTTTTTTAATCCATTAACAAAATTTCTTTAAGTTTTACCATTATTATTAATTATTAATAAATCAATAGCTGAAGGAAACGATCAACTATAATTTAGTCATTAAGATCAGAGTTTCTAATTTTCTTAACACCGTATGCCAATAGGCATCAGATTCTTTGGTTGTCAACATATCAGATCAATATCCCATATAACAAATATAGTCTTTTATATTATATTATAAATAATCCATATTTATTTGAAGTATCTAAATATAATATTATAATTCTGAAGGTATTAGTGCAAAGAACCTAACTTCTCTCTTTTCTCTTATTATTTTTGTTTTAATTGACTATAGACATTCTGTAAGCTAGACAACAGTTCTGACAAGAGAACAGCTTAAGATCGTCTCTATTAAAACTTTGGAGTTCGGCTTAATTTGTGCTGGCCCGCAGCATTCATTCGAGTTGTGGGTGCAGCCCACATATCATGCCCTGAATGCGCTCCCTAAGCAGCTCACATAAATTACGTGCCCAGTAAAAATCTCAGGGAAAGAGTGAAACAGTGAGAGAGAGAGAGAGAGAGAGAGTGACTAGGAGAGAGAGGGTGGAGAGGTGCTTCTCCATTCACTGCGTAGCCCTGGTTACAGCATTTGTTTCTGTTGTTCTCTGTCTCTGGCAGCGACAATATTTCTTAGCCAATTTTGGGATTTTTTTTCCCCGTTTGGAAAGCGACGCTGAAAATCCGCTTAAAAAAAAAAAAAAAAAGCAAACGCGCGCCCTGCAGAAGACGCGAGCAAAAAAGAAGAAGAAAAACGCTGAATTAAAATGCAACAAAGTTGCGAGAGGTGTAAGAGAAGCATGTGGGAAGGCGGAGCAGAGGAATGGATAGTGGGTGGGGGCGGGGCACGCGGTGAGGAAAGCGTCAGGCACATTTTTCTTTGCAGTTCAGTCACAGTTTTCGGTAGCTGCTGCAGCTCTCGTTTTTCTGCTGGCACTTTAGGCAAATTTACTACAGCCATAGAGAGTGAGAGAGAGAGAGAGAGAGAGAGAGAGAGAGAGAGAGAGTGAGTGAGACGAGGGGAGAGCGTGAGCTTATGCGAGCGAGAAGGAGGTAGAAAAACTGAAACACATGTCACAGATTTGTTTCACTTTCGGAAGCACTTAAGCACTCAGCGAATTTGTTTGAAAAAAAGGAGAAAAAGAAACAACGACCGAAACTCTGGAGCTCTGGCTACTTCTTCAATGCCAGCGCATTGTTCGGTTTTATTTTTGAAATAAATATGCATGGCTAAAGGGGAGTGTGTGAACGTGTGTGTGTGTGTGTGTGTGTGTGTGCTATGGGGTTGTAGTTGTGGGGTAGGCCGCCGAAAGAACAAATTGATGATATGCCCCTTTGACACTTGAGTCCATTATTTATGTGCCGGCTTGCGATTATTTTCACATATGCTGTGCCCCCGCTTATCCGCATGCCCCATGCGATCCTCCCTGTCCCGCTCCCCCCACTGACTCACTACATGTGTCTGGTCTTTGGTCTCAGCGGATTTCACTTCCATTTCGCTCAACAATTCGACGCAGCAATCAGCTGAGCAGGCAGTTCGCTGAGTGCCTCGTTTGGACCAGGTTAACACACGCACACGCACACACGCACGCACACACACATTTAGCACTTTGTTTTAAATACCTTGCCTTACGTTTATTTCTTTCATTTGGCTTACGTTGTTTAAAGCGCATTTTCAGCTTAACGGTAACACGTGACATATGAATTATTGTGCTGCCTCCTGACTAAGCATTCGCCTTTTACCGATTTTACGGCTTTAGTCATCAAATATTAAAAGGAAAATCCCAATTTGGGCACAGCTTAAAAAATACCGTATACGGAAACAAAAGCTACTGCACTCATAAACTGTATCAAAATGCGAAAATATCATTTTAATGGAATTAAATAAATATAATAGAGCAATATTTGTGTTTTAAATAAATAAATTATCATAATATATTTTATTTAGAATCCTGCGCTATCTACAACTATTAATTTGAATATATGAATATTATTTTGATGAAAGTATCTTCCAGTCTCTTTTTCGAGAGTACAGCAATGTCTAAAATGACATAAAAGAGCCAAATTTTAAAATATACATATATAGTGACATAATCATACTGATTACGTCTACAATATTCAGAAGCTGTATGGTCGCGTCATTAAGCTGATTCGTCTTTGCAAGGCGCGCAGCTTCGTTGACCTAGGTCTAGTATTCGGATGATGTGTTGGAATTGTGTGGTGAAATGCCCAACACTGAATACTCATACACTCACACAGCCTCACACAGTGCATAATAGACAATTAGAAGTTGACGCAACATTGTTAATGTGTTGGAATTGTGTGGTGAAATGCCCAACACTGAATACTCATAAATAAATACTGCATAAATACGTGTCAATAGACCTACAATTGTTAGTCTTAAGTTGATATTCAATAAAGCAAGTTGTCATAATCCAACCTTGACTTCGTCTTTTAAATCATATTAGCGTTGCTGTTAGTATATGTCGCAGCATTTATTCGACTCGTAACAGTTTTATCTTAGTATATGTATGTTATGTGTAATAAATAATTTTTTATTTTGAAAAAAAAAAAAAAAAAAAAATAATAATAATAATAATAATAATAATAATAATAATAATATCTACTTAGTAAAATAAATTACATAATTTCAAATTATAGTTTTTGAATATTAGAGAACGCGGAATATTATTTTAATTGCTTGATCAAATAAATATATTAATTACCATATATATATTTATATTATATTATTTTTAGTTTCATTTAATGTATGTATTTGATTCATATAATTACATTTTTATGTACATATATATATATGAACACATGAATATAAATTATAAGTTTTTATAACGAATTCTCTGATATCTATAACAATCTATAAGTCTAGGCTGTATGTATTTATAAAGTGTGCCCCCACCCCTCAAGCAGAATCGTATCTGTTTCAACTCACATTTGACTATTTTGATAAACATGCTAACTGCATATTATTCTATTGAATGCATGGCCCAGTCTCATATCCGAATTCTAGGTAATTTTTTTGTATATTTATTTTTTGCATTGGCTGCTTTGGCATTTGTGCGTAAATCATGCCACATTAATGAACTCTAAAATGGTGGCTGCTGCCATGTTGTAAGGCAACCACTTGAATTTGTTGTTGCTTGATAGGGTTGAGGACCGAAGCTTGGCATAAATAATTGTATAATAAATTGCATAGCTGAATAGGAGCGATATATCATTTGTCGCAGCGTGTGTGACACGTTTGGGAAACGGCGCGAAATGCGCAAAGTGCGAACGATTCAATTAATCCTGACTCTATTTATTATTATTAGGGTTAAGCCAGAGACAGAAATATGCCAAAGAGAAGCAAGCTGGCCAGCTCAGAGCCAGCTCAGTTACGACTGCCCATGTAGTTGTTACATTAATTAGTAGAGCAGCCTGTTTCGGCTCTGTCGCGCCTCGCCGTTCCAGGCATTATCATATTTATTAAGCAGCCGCATCGCCTGCAGCTTTTCGCATTGGCGAATTGTGCGTCTCTCACTGTGTGTGTGTGTGTGTGTGTTGTTGCTTTGCTGGATCCG